CGTAATTTCCCGAACGCCGCCCAATCGAGTTGAATCCGTAGATTGACCTCTCGGTCGAAGATGGACTTACCAAGTCGGACTATTTTTCCCAGGTAAACATACTCGTCAACAACTTCGAGCTTAGTACTCCCAACAACTACCGGCATAGGTGTGACATGGACATTAAACATGATCTTTGTTTTGTCCATGTTCATCTTAAGACCTATTCGTTGGGAGACACTATTGAGGTCATCGAGCATAGTGCTTACGTCCTCCAGCGATTCTGCCATAAGGACTGTATCGTCGGCAAATCAAAGGTGAGTGATGTACTCGTTATTGATGTTAATACCGTATCCTTTCCGGTCCACTAGCTTGAAAACGTCTTCTAATGCAGCGGTAAAGAGTTTCGGGGATATAAATTCACCCTGTCTTACACCTCTCTGCAGTTGGATAGGTTTCGTACTCTGATTCTTTACTCGGATAGCCATCGTAGCCCTACTGTACAAATACTTCAGTACTTCGATATACCGATAGTCAACTTGGCACTGCTGAAAGAACTGTAGCACCACCCAAATTTCGACGGAATCAAAGACTTTATCAGCTTTTTAATAGATACTTTTTTTTATAATATAGGATGACAAGCGAGCATACAGTCCACCTGATGGTAAGTGGTTGCTGTGGCCCATAGACATCTAAATCTATCCTCATTTGCAAATCAAAATGCAGATGCGTAGTCACCCGTGAGGACTAAGATGGAATGCTTCTTTTCCAGTAAAAAGGGTTTCCAGTTCTCTACACTTACCATACGAAACACAGCAGTGTCGTCAAGCTGCCATTTTACGCTGGTATTCTGTGAGAGCGTGGTCCTTCCCCGGACCCATTCGTGCTACAACTATACCACTAATATAGCTGCAGCATGGCTGTACCACGTATAATTAAGATATAATATTTCATAATTAGTTTTTATAATCATGCGAACACTACACATAGAATAAAACTACTTTCACAGGTTTTAACGCATTTAATTATATTTTTTTGAGGATATTTATTTCATTTACATAGGACAAACAAAACGATCTATTAAAACCCACGTAAAATAACACATAGCTGACGTGAAACACCAACGTTCCGGGAAGTCTGCAGTTTGTGATCATATCCTTGACGGTCCCCAAGGCCTAGGATGATACGTGAGATTAACGTTGAATTAAAAAAAAAAAACATCCTAATTTCAATAGAGAGGGAGGCTGGGTACTACCACCTGCTTGGAATCCTGTAATTAATAAAATTAAAACTAAGCCCAAGCATACCAAAACTAATAGTTAAAAGCTGAAGGTATCGGTTCAACTCTGACATCGGGACGACAATCATCTGAGTCCTCCGTGACCGTGGGTGGTGGAAACCACCCGAAACTTCTGGAATTAAAAAATAAGTACAATTAGACGCGATAAAATCCATAAAAGTAGTTTTCAATATAATATTTTCTTACAAACTACGTATTCTAAGTATTTCACTTTTATAATTATTGTTCTTCAACAATTTGTTGTGGTTTTTAATTAAATGGTAAATTCTAAATTTAATATAAAGTTTATTTTAAATAATATTGGAAAACACTGACATTTTATAACAAATATAAACTCTTGCGAACGTTATAATATTTTACTACCAATATTTACAATTTTTCTTTCGAGATCAGAATATTTGCGAAATTTTTGCTCAAGCAATTCAACAAACACGATAAAAGTGTTAGGAATTAAAAAAAAAACCGATTGAACACTGTCTTTATTTAAATCCATGGAATGGTTGAAAAAATAATCTTTTCCCATATTTATAGGTTGTTCAGATCTATTAATGTACAGTTTTATTTTTTCACATTTGTGGTGTTCGAGACAACAATGGACAACGGTGCTTTTCTATACAAACATCCCGACACAGACTAAACCATTTGTTTTCTGGTAAATCAAATAGATTATTATTTGTTCCTCCTGTTAACACAGGGGCAGTAACATCTTCAAGTTGCAGTGATGGTGTATAAATACGACAATCATCTGGTTTCGTAAGTAACGTATCGAAATCGTATTCACAATTAGTATTTTGAGGTTTCCCTAAGATAATGGTTATAAACAGATGTTGGTTCCTGGCAGTTACCAGCCGCCTGTCTGACTTTTCTGCCGACTTCAAAAAAGGAGACGGTACTCAATTCGACTGTATGTTTTTTTATGTGTTTGATGATTCCGATGATTCTTTTTTTATTTGAAAGCTGGTACTTCTCGTGTGAATTTGATCAAGGTCAGACCAATAGTTTTTGAGTTATTCTTAATAACTTATATTGAAGTCGGCTGTACAAAATTTTTAATTTTAAATTATCCAAAGAAATTTTCGAGACAATCTTCTTAATTGAGACGTCTCGTAAATATAAATTAATTTAATTTTAATTATTCATCAAGTTTTATTAAAGATTTTATAGATACTTGAAATCCGTGAATGAAATTAATGCTTACACTTTTTATTGATTTGAAGTTCCTGAAAAATGTCAGCATTTCTTCTAAAAACTCAATTTGATAACTATCGCATTGAAAAGCTTTTTTATATTTATTATGATATCGCAGTGTAAGAAATTATTATGATATTGCAGTGAGTGTAAGAAATCAAACAAATTATTAATTTTATTTACAAAATAAGCGGTATCTCTTGTGGCAACATCGATAAGATTTAAATCTACGTAGATACACTACACTTTTTACACTTTTTTATATTTCATATGTGATGAATTATTCTTTAAGAAACTAAATTTGACACTTATTATTTTTTACACAACCCTGAGTTTAAGCACTGGTCGAGCCGGTTTAAAGCAGTTTCTCTATGTACGTGACGAGTCGCCAGTGCTCACGCACACACGCGCCTCAAGCTTATAATAGTGTATCTATAACAGTATGGTTCTATGAAGCTTTGCCTCTGTACAGTACGGTTTCTTTACTCATGTGGTAATACCTTAGCTTTTTGACGCAACGCTGGCGTCGTTGGAAAAAATGCATATGTGCTCCCAATAAACGTAAACAATATATACATAGGGTTTATTATTAGCTTCGTCTGCTTTGTTGTTTAATAAATCCAACAAAATAAGTCTTCTTTATTTTTATTTATTAATTTATTAAATCTTTATTTTAAGACGCTTTAAACTTAAACTAAGGGTTACAATGGGTGGAGTTAAGAGAAAATGCGGGCCGAGAGGTTTTTGAAAATTAGGTATTTGAAGAAACTATCGCTGTCGATCTGAGAGTGCTCGGCAAAAAGATATTAAATATTTTTAACATAAGGTTTACCACCTTATGTTAAAAATATGTAATATCTTTTTTCTTCAGCAGTTCGAAAATGTTCACTGCTGAACAATGGTCTCTCCCACTGTAACAAGGATTTGCTTTAGTCGAAACGTTTGGCAGGCGGATTGGCAAACAAGTGTACCCGAAACCATGTACATTGGATGTTTGTTTTTGTTGTACATTTGATGCTGAACCCATCGCTGGTCTCGTTATTTCGCTTGGCTTTAATAAAATGCTTTTTTATAGGATTAGGGTGACAAACGAGCACACAGTCCACCTGATGGTAAGTGGATGCTGTGACCCATAGACATCTACATCTATCTTCGATTACGAATCAAAATGCTGATGCGTTGTCACCCGTGAGGACTAAGAGGGAATGCCTCGTTTCCAGTAAAAAGGGTCTCCGGTTCTCTACACTCACTATACGAAACACAGCAGCATTAAGCTGCTATTTGACACTTGTATTCTGTGAGGGCGTGGTCACAGATTACTTAAAAGTTTACGTGGTCCTTCCCCGGTCGAGCCGACCCATTCGTGCTACAACCATAATATAGCTGCAACATGGCTCTACTACGTATAAAACTGTACTGTGCTGTACCGCCATCTATCGAAAGTCAATTGATCTTTCTCGCATTTCCTGTAGTAGCGAGGGAGAATAGATTCTCTGACGCTTCTATTAGTACCCCACACATTTATCTCTCAGTATCCTACACTTACACTTCTGTTTAAAAAATTAATTACTCTATATTTATAAATTTTAATATGACAATATAAGTTGTGCTATTCTGATTGTGGACGGAGTCAACTAGAACAAATAAATAAATAATTAACAGTTTGTATTGGATAGCTGCAGACAAATGACAAAAATAATTCACGATGCAACTTGACAACTGACCACTAACTTTAAAGCGGCGGCAGCTGCTTATGGGTTCAAGTCAAAGCCAACTATTGTTGCACATTTAATTGGTTCAGAGTTTTGCTAGTGTCGCATCTACATCCCATTATACATTATTCGTCCAAGTGTCTGCGAAGTGTGGATGCGAAAGTTGTATACGCAATGTATAGACGGAAAATAAATGTCAGTGTTCCTTCATTCATTATTCTTTATTTATTTCTTTTAAAAAACGTTACCCCCACACTAGGATTTTCTCCTGTGTCGTGGAGGCAGTTTACAAACATAAATTGCACAAGGACAAACATCCAGACCCGGAACAATTATTTGTAGGCCATACAAATACTTGTTCCGTGCGGGAATCGAACCCGCGGCCCCCAGCGCAACAACTGATTGCTAAGCCACTGCGCCACGGAGCCGTCAATATGACGTCATTAAGAGCATAATTTACCGAGTAGTGGCGGTGTAAGAATATCCACTATCCCATATCATCCCGTAGTTGTCGTGAGAGGCGACAGGGCGATCTTCGTAATGACAACTAAAAATAATAAAACTGCAAATATCCCCTATGAGGTCTATGTTTAGCAGTGGACACTAATAGGTTTTGACGTTAATTGTAAGAAAATATAATATTTATCTTGCATATTTAATGTTTTTTTGGATTAAAAAAAGATGCAACTTATTACGGATATAAGTTGTAATTTCTTTCTTAAAACTATGTATTTCTAAATAGCAGTTCTTGACCACTCTTTATGTATCAGTCACGCTTGAGGAATAACATATAACTTGTGTAGTACGATAGTGTGTGTATTATGGGAATTAAGATAGGTTACTTTGTTTCAAGACTCAGTGTGCCAAAGTCGCCCGCGCAGTCGACCGCTCGACACAGTAGTGTGCGCGCGCAACTTTTAATCGTTTTCTTTGTTCGCACATCGAGGGTGAGCTTCTAATTGCATTATTTTTTTTAGTGTGGGAGCTTTAAGGGAGTTTGAATATTTTTTTCTCGCGTCGTATCTGAAACTTCTGGTATGATTTTATATTTACTTATTTATGATTATCATCTTAGTTCAGTGATTTATTACAATATTCGCATATAAAAAAATAATTTTATGAAAGTTAAAACATTCAAGGCGGCTTTACTCCTTAATGTTTTGTTCTTATATTCTAGTGATCACTTGTGACACTCATAGATGAATTAATTTTTAGGTTACCATATGAAATAACGTATTATATTTAAGAGTTATTTACTAATAATAATAATAACTATTCTAGATATACATCCAAAATCAAGGTACTACATCATAAACACTTTTTAAGCTTATAAATTAACATATCTTAAATAAAGAAACAATATCTTCCTTTTTTATATTTTTTTATTATTCTTATTGAATTTAGTTGGTTAGACTGAAGTATTAACATAAATAATTAAATAATGCGTTCGATCTATTACATTGGTGCTACTGGTACATTGGTGTCAGTACCTCGACTTTTATAGAAAAATTAAACAGCCGTGATGCACCATCTCACCATTCTTGTAACATTGAAGACAAAAATTAGCTGACTGACTGAGTTGCAGTACCCATGCTTGTTGCATGGGTACTGCAACCCATGAACAACTGCATTCAACATCAAAGGACGACGAGACTTATGCGATGAACGGAGCTTTGACAAATAAGTGAAGTAGAACGTAGATAAAAACACGCAGAAGAATTATTGTTGATAAGTGAATGTTTTCGCTTAAAGACAACTACATCTGTACTCGTATAAGAAACAAAATGCAGATGCTTTTTAATGGTTAGATATTTTCACCCGTCAGGACTAAGATGTAATTGTTATCAGAAAAAGGGTATGTGGTTCTCATCTATTACTCACCACACAAGATCAATTTAGTTTTGTTTCAGTCTAAATTATTAACAATTTCCCTATCCGCGAAAATGACAAAATAAGGTAAGTGAGGCTAATATGGTCATTTAAAGCTTTACCGCCCTATAAAATAGAAACTAGGAGGAAGACAGAGACAGAACATAAAGTCGTGTACTATAACTACTACGAGTATGTTAATAAAAAAATGCAAATAACCTTTGTCTAATTAAGAACATTTCGAAAACTCTACTTTAAAAAAAACTGACTACAATACACAATTATAAAATCGACTAAACTATTTATTTACGATAATGTCAACTATCAAAATGGCGTCGATAAAGCAGCGCCCTTTTGACCCTTTATTATTTGATGGACTGATGAAGTATCACAAAGCTATCTATGCAAACAAGCCGTGACCATATTAGGCCCGCTTTTCACTATGGGATATAATATAATATATATTACATCTCGACATATAAATTAATATCGCTCACCATACATTTTATATGGAACCGTTTACACTGAGCTATAATATATATTACATCTCAAGCTATAAATATTTTTTCGATCGACTGAGCGATATTTTCATATTATATTTCGCCCCCTGTACCCCGCACACCGTTCTGCGCCCCCGCAGAACGGTGTACGGGGTAAAGGGGGGTAATCCAATGACCAATGACGAACGCACCCTGGTTAAAAGATATATCCCACAGTGTGAAAGCCAATCGTGGGATATAATTTATATTTCGGGATATAATATATATTATATCCCATTGTGAAAAGCCAGCCTTACCCTCACGCACCTACGTTAAATAATCAAAATGTTCATATAATAGGACTTACGGGACAGTGAAATCGTTAATACTACTACTTCATCAACCCTCTCTCGTAATATGCCTATAGACATGTCAGAAAAATTTCATGACGGATGGCGGTATAACTATTTCGTTCACTCCAGACGTATAATACTGCAACAGCAACAGCACCTTCTACCACAAGTATCTTTATACTTAAAAGAAGTCCTCAAGCTTGTACTAATTTAAGAATATGTTGGAAACAATAAACTTTCATTCAAAAAAAGCAGTTGTATTGCTACAGTGCAACAGTGTCAAAGGTACGAGATGTCTGGCACCACGATTGTGAATACGCCTGCCAAGTGTGTCGTTTAAGGAAAATTCACGCTACAATGAAGAAAGATACTTATTTTTTATGTTGTATATTTAAAATTTTATGAATCAGACTTTTATATGCTGGTGAAAAAAGATGAAGAAAAAGTTGATTTTAAAAAGGAACTGTGTGGCCAATTCTTTGTGTCAAACAGACACCAAATCTGGAGATTTATTTGTACTATGTGACGGGAAATGTGCATAATAGGGTGATTATTGTGTACGATGTGTTATATCTTAAAATGTGTTATTGCAGTTTTTGGAGAAAATTAGAATTAAACACTAATTTTTCTAAACGTTTAGAATGTATATATTTATTCGATAAATCGTTGTATCTTATACTAAGCCAAGGTTAAAAATGTTATTTATTGCAATTTTAAGTTCTGATCTACCAGATGCTCGGCGGTGAAGGGAAAAATTGTAAGGACACCTAAATGTCTTATTATTAATAAAAAATAACGTGCGAAGTACGCCAATACGTATTGGGGTATAGAGGTCTCTGTTCTGTTCCAGAATCCTCTCATATCTGAGAGCACACTTAAGCTCAGCAGTAGCCTGTTATCCTTATATACATAAATTCATTTTTAAAGGACGTTACATATCATTATTATTTATTACTCATTTACAAGGTAGATAGTAACAACAAAAGGTATTTCTTTTAACATGACATACTTTTTGTCTTTAGCACCCAATTATACTACCAACATGACCTATACAATGTACCCTGGAAACCACTATAGCAAATAGATTGTTTGTTGGAAATCAATCTAAATGTACGAATCCAAATGTTACAAACTGATATAGAGTCTAATGATACTATTGCGAGGGTTTTGGCTTTGAGCTTACTAACTCGCCGGCCCTTGATGAATATTGCTCATAAAGCGAATTACGTTGCTTGGCGCATCCTGAGAAAGATCTATATTCAGCAGTGAATTAGATGCAAAAAAAATAACGGAGAAACTTGCTTAACAAGGACCGATACTTATTATCATTATGAAATTGATAACGGCTCGGTATCGCAGTGGTTAAGCGTTTGGGCTGCGGCGCTGTGGCCCCGGGTTCGTATCCCGCAAGAAACAAGTATTTGTATTGTCTATAAATAATTGTTTTGGAGTCTGAACGTTTGTCTATGTGCAATTTTTGTATGTAAAACACCTCCACGGTCCAGGAGTCACTCCTAGTGTATAGGTAAGTTTTAAGAAATATAAGGGTAAAAGGTTTAAAAATAACTTAATTAAAAGACGCAATATATGAGAAACCGGAGACCCTTTTTACTAGAAACGAGGCATTCCATCCTAGTCCCCACGGGTGACAACGCATCTGCATTTTGATTCGTAATCGAAGATAGATGTAGATTGTAGACGTCTTTGTGCAACAGCTTACCATCAGATAGACTGTGTGACATAAAAAAAATGATCTACCTCTATTGTAAAATAAGTAACTTAGATTAATTTTTGTTTACTGCTAAATCGCTACTGACAGAGCCTTTAGTTTTTTTTCCGGCACTGTATAAAGGCACAGTAACATGTTTATGTTTTAAATAAAATAAAACTTTTACGTCCAAAGTATAATTTTTTTTGTATATAGGATAGGGTTACAAACAAGCAAACAGTCCACCTGATGGTAAGTGATTGCTCTGACCTATAGACATCTACATCTATCCTCAATAAATAATCAAAATGCAGATGCGTTGTCACCCGTGAGGACTAAGATGGAATGCCTCTTTTCCAGTAAAAAGGGTCTCCGGTTCTCAACACTCACCATACGAAACATAGCAGTGTTAAACTGCTATTTTACGCTGGTTTTCTCTGAGAGTGTGGTCTTTCTCCGGTTGAGCCGACCCTTTCGTGTTACAACTATACTACTAATATAGCTGCAACATGGTTCTACCACGTATAAATTACTATATAATATTTATATTGAAATATAAGATGATATTAATAATTTAAGCTAGTATTCTTTCTGTGAGAACGTGGTCCTTTCTCGGTCGAGTCGAACCATTTGTGCTGCCACCATAATTTAGCTGCAGCGTGACTCTACCATGTTTTTTAACTTCAAATAAACTAACTTAATTGTTTAGTAAAAAAATGATAACAAAAAACAAGTTAATATATTCGTTTCTACGTAAAAACTATGTAAAGTGAGTTAATTAATAACCTTCATAAAAAAGGCTTTAATTTTTCAATTTCAAGACCAAATCAGGGACGTTTTGAAAAAAGGCCAGGTCAAGAGTACCCTAAACCGTAGAGCATGTATGAAGGGAATAATGAAAGTGGACGAAGCGAAACAAGTATGTAAGGATCGTAGCAAGTGGAAAGAAGTGGTCCCTACCTACCCCTACAGGAAAGAGGCGTGATTATATGTATGTATGTATGTATCGAACTAACTCATTGTTGTACTGTGTTGAAATGTTTAAAAATATAATCCCCTTGGGTTTCTTGCTGGTTCTTCCCAGGGAAGAGATATTTTCCTAACCAGTTGTAAATAAAATATATTACTTTCAAAAAGTATAATGTAAAAATCAATATTGAAATAAAATCATTATCTTCCCACCTTAACCACCTTAACGAACAAAAAAATACAAATGGCGCTCCAACAACTTTCATCTCTATTTGGATGATCAGTCAGTACTTTAGTCAATCTTTTTTTGCTATTTTGATACCCGTTTTATTGTTATGTCGTGTTTTCCTTTCATCAAAATATCCGGCCTAAATATTGATTTAAAAATTTACATTAATTTGTATTATGCAGCGCGATCATTGGCGAGCGGTTCACCGTGTCGATGTTAACCTTGTTGTCGGTTACTCATTTACACGTGCTGGAAACTAGTCATCCATCCACTAAGATATAATAATTTACCTAGAAATACGTATTATGTATTATATTACAATATTAACTAAGCTTTTTGA